ATTACAGTTGCGTCTATCAGGGTTAGTTGAGGAATCATGTGCCATGCATCCCTGCTTTGGGTCTCCTTTTAGCCTAGAGAAGAAATCCACATTCATAGTGGAAGCCTCAGAACAACCCAAGTCTTAACCCACTGTTAACGTGCGCTAAATGTGTTGGCCTCTAACAGTGAAAACAGTGTTTAAGAGAAATTTAATAGAATCAATTATCTAAAGCCCAGGGAGTTGGGGATGGGGTAACACATAGGGTGGAAAAGAAGAGAAAAAGCAAAAAAGTATTTTTAATATATTTTTTAAAAAGTAAGTCCTTTGCTCTGTGGTATGCAAAGGAAGATATAGGAAGGGAGCGAAGGATCCTAAAGGTGGTAAGGGTGTATTACATATTTAGAAGGGGACAACAGGGAACACTGGGTGCAAAATTGGCAGTGAGAAATGCAGATGGGAAAGGATTCTATGACTGATGTGAGTATTAGAGAAAAAGTTATAGGGAGACAAATGAAAAGGGGGAGAGGAAAGAAAAGGAAAACAATAAATAAGACACAGGAGAAAGAAGTCAGATGAAGAGATACGGATAAAGTAGGCAGCAGATAAAGGGACAGTGGAGAATTCCCTTACCTTCCATAAGCTATTGCAGAAAAATGGCAAAAGGAAGGGAAACACACACACGCACACACACACACACACACACACACACACACAGAGATGTGCACACACATGCTCATAAAACAAAAAAGGGGAAAATATTAGAACAAAAGTGTGGGAGAAAATGTACAGAAGGAGGAAAACGGCAAAGAATAAAAACAAAAGTAAAATAAAAATGAAAAAAAAGGATGCAGTCAAATCAGGGACAGTTTTGGTCACGTGGCTTTTTTCCTCACTGTGGGGTGAAGGCGCAGACTCGGCCAGAGCACGTCTCTGTTCGTGCTGGAAGTCAAAGGTGGCCGCCTGCCCCCAGAACAGTGCTGTGTGTGGAGCTCAGCTTACAGTGAGCTCAGGGTGCTAGTGTGAGCTTCCAGTCCTGTGGAGCTCGGCCGGACCTGGCCCTGACCAGAGGAGCCATAGGTTCACCAGCCCTGGACTCTCAGGGGGACACCCCGAATCTGCTCTCCTGCTGCCACTCTGGGCCCAGTGTCCTGCTTTTTCCTTGTTGGTTCCGTCTGCCAGTTGTTCTTTCAGTCCCCGCGCAAGTTCTCCAGGTCTCTGTGAGCAGAAAAGCTGTGACTTTCACTTTGCCGCCAGGCCGCTGTCAGCCGCGCTAGGTGGTCTCCCCTTGCAGTGTGATCTGTTTCTTCTGTATCACTTAATCCTATTTTCTTCTTCTCTGCCTGTTCCCTCCTGGTTCCCGGAGAGCCTCTGCTCACTTTAATTCCTTTCCGAGCTATTGTTTTGACTCTGGACCCTTTGACCTGGAGAAATTGAGTTGCTGGCATTCACTGCTCTGCCATTTTGGGACTCCTCTGCCTTGAATTATTTTTCTCTTTTTCTTTTCTCTTTTTTGAGACAGGGTCTTGCTAATTCACTAAATTGCCCAGGCTGTCTCAAGCTTGCGCTCCTCCACTTCAGCCTCCCAGAATGCTGAGATCACAGTGTATAACACCACAACCAGTTCTGCTTGAGTTTTGTTGTCCAGAGAAAGTTCCATGCCTCCCCTTTACTCCTGTGTCAGCAAACACCTATAAGGAGAACCAAGATGTTGGTTAAAACAAAACAATGCAAATCAACTCTGATAACCACAAAGACATTTGCTAGCCTTGGTCCTGAAACTTGCAAGAAGCTTTAGTTTTGTCTATAAATTAGAGATAATAACCCTGATCTCTTTGGTCATTGTGGAGATAAAAAAGAATGCATGAGTATCTGTTACCTGGTGCTATCGAATTGGTCTCCTGTTACAGTTTTTATCTGATACACCCACAAAATCTCATGGACTGAAGGCCTGGCTGGTCCCCAGTGCAGCAGTGATCAAAGGTGGTACCTTTGAGAGGTGCTCAGATTATGAGGGCCCTGGACTCACAGAGGACCAGCCCAGTGACACATAACTTGTGGGAGTATTGGGAGGTGGTAGAAACTTCGCATGGCGGGGCCTAGTTGGAGGAAGTGGGTCCCTGGGAGTGTGTGCTGTGGAAAACGTATTCTCCCCTTCCTTCATCTTGCTGCTTCCTGACTATTGTGAGGAACACAGCTTTGCTCCACCATGCACTCTCTCCAACTTGATGTTCTGCCTTGCTGCAAACCCAGAAACAATGGCACCAAGGGGCCACGCTCTAAGACTTGTAAGACTGTGAGGCAAAATAAGTCACTCCTTGAGGTTGATATTCTCAGGTCTTTTGTCACAGCAATAGAAAGCTAACTCATATAGCAATCCAGGGTTTAGTAGCTTAAGTGACAAGCATTTGTAGAGCTCACAGTGTTTAGCTTGACCATTGGGTGGGGTTCCTTTGGACAGTTTTTCTGGTCTTCACTGGGCTCTCTCATTCACACCTGATTAGCTCCGGGTCATTCAGATGCTTTTGATTTTGTAGGATGTCTGGCTATCAGCTCAGGCACCTCATTTCTCCTTTGCAGGATCTATCGTCTTTACCAGGCTAGCCCAAGCTTTTGTCATGGTGCAAGCATGAATCCAAGAAAGAAATTTTTAAAAATAGAAGGGATCTTAAAGCTTAGGGTTGGAACTGGCATCCTGTCTGTCAAAGATAGTTAACAAAGCCCAGATTCAACAGGTCTGGAAATAAATTCTTTTTCTTGCTGGATAGAGATGCATTAAGTATAGGTATAGAATCAGGACCATTTGTGTAACAAATATACATACAAAATACACTCACTCCCTCTGAAGTTCCTCAAAGGTCTCATCCCCCATGGCATAAGGCTCAAAATCCGGGACCTTGTAACCTGTATAAAATCCCATGTAGCGCTTTCTGACCTGAAGACTCAGTGAACGTGAAGGAAACCTGCCTGTCATATATCCAACGTGCAGTGGAGAAGCAGGGGTATGATAATAGCAGCAAACATTCCTCTTTGAAATAGTTACTAATCCATAATAATTCTGAAATCCTGTTGAGCAGAAGTGTCAGCAGGAGTCCCTCTGGAATAGAAGCACTGCTTGGTTAGACCATGGTCTACTCTTTGGAAGTGATCTGTCATCTCAAGGTACAAGATCCCCCAGGTGCATGTTTCTACAGCTCTTGGCCTTGCCCATGCTGTCTTACCTGTCACACTCTGTGGCAGCTCCTGAAGAGATGGGCTGTTAGTAGCTCAGTAGACTTCTCAGCAGTCTCCGCAGCCTCCTTCTTAACCTAAGCAAGTCTTAAGCCTTTCCTGTAAAGTTAAGGACCCAGAGAGCTTTTTTCAGTGTGAATAGTCCCAGTGCCTTTTAGCCCAGGTTGGCAGCAATTTTATCAATACAACTCATGTTTAAAAGCACTGGAGGGGGGGTTCTGTGTATTTTATAATTGCTCAATTGATGCTCAAAAAGTCACACTTACAATTTATTTCAACCGTGCTTCCCTCCCCAGAATGACTTTGTGCTGTGTTGAGATTAGGCCTTTGTGAGGGCTTTTGCCCTTCAGCTTCCTCCAGACCTTTTGTTTATCGACAGCTTCTGGGCAGTGCATTCATTCCACAGGTGTCTTAAGCGAAGACCTTATAAGCCGCACATGGCTTGATTTCACTTGACCTCAGGCTTTATTACCTTTAAGCTTTATTGAGAAATAATTGACATGCAATAAGATAAACATATTTGACGTGTTAGTTTTGATGGACGTGTATAATGTGACCATGTTAGCGCAATAAAGATAATGAGCACAGGCATTTTGAGGACATCTGGGGTTTCTTCCTTCTCACTCCTCCTAGGTCCCTCTTCATCCCATACAACCACCTATCTGCAATCTACCACTATAGGTTACTTTACGTTGAACAAATGCACGCAACTACATTTTCTGGAGTTGTATATGGATCAAATCATAAAATATACTAGTTTTTTTCTTGTTTAGGTTCTTTTGCTTACTGTGTTTAGTTTTAGATAATTTGTCTCGCTGAATATGTCAGTTCTTTATTTCTTTTCCTTACCAAGTAATATTCCATTGAATTGATATACCACATGTGTTTATTCATTCACTTATTGATAAATATGTTGGTTGTTTCCAGTTTTGAGCTATGGCAAACAAAACTGCAATGAGTATCCAAGTGTGAATCTTTCTTTCTTTTTTTTTTTTTTTTTTTTTTTTGTACCAGGAATTGAACTCAGAATCTTGCACTTGCGAGGCAGGTGCAGCACCACTGAGCCAAATTCCTGGCCCTCCAAGTGTGAATATTTGTGTAGATATGTGTTTTCACAAATACCTGGGAGTTAAGTGCTTTGGATGAATGCTTAACTTTTTAAAAAATCACCAAACTGTTTTCCAAAAGAGTTGTGCAATTTCACATTTCTGCCAGTAGCCTGTAAGCATTCAGAGGCTCCACATGCTCACAAGAAGTTGGTATAGCAATGTCTTTAATTCTAGCTATTCTATGGATGTGTAGTGGCATCTCATTGTGACTCTAATTTGTATTTCCCTCAGGAACAGTGGTTGAGTATTTTTTCACATGTTCATGTACTATCTGTTTTCCTTCATGAAATATCTGGTTATTTTGGGGCCCATTTTTAAATTGCACTGTTTTAGGGATTTGTATTGTGAATTTTAATGTATTTTGGATATGCCATTTATCAAATGTCTTATTTCCTAATATTTTCTCCCAACCTGTGGTTTATTTTTTAATTCTTTTAACTCTGATTTAAAATAGCAGAAGATCTTAATTTTTATAAAGTCCAATTTAATAATTTTTTTAAAAAGATCATTTATTTAGCCTTGTACTTAAGAATCTTCTGTATTATCAAGGTCATAGAGTTTTCTGTGATTTTCTTCTAGTACTTTTAAAGCTTTGCATTTAGATGTCTGATTAATTTGTCTTAAAGCTTTTTTGTATGGTTTAAGGTATAGATCAAAATTATTTTTATTGATTGCCTATAGATATCTGACAGTTCCAGTCCACTTGCTGAAATGACTACTCTTTACGCACTGAATTAGCTTTTCACTTTTGTCAAAAATCAAGTTACCGGCAAGAGTACATCTAGACTGGCAGAGTAAGGAGCTCCGAAGATCTGCTGCAACATCGTAACAATGAGAATACTGGTAAAACTTGCTTATATTAGCTTTTTCAGAACTGTAGAGAACCTACAACTTGTAATAATATGAAGAAATCTTATTAAAGAAAAAACAGCTGAATCTTGTCAAAACTCAGGCTTGGTTGCAATTTAGCATACTGTAATCCTGTTCCATTCTTCTGCAATGAAACTTAAGCTACAGTTCCACCAACCAAAGACCAAGAAAGAAAAATGTGTTGGTGTAGGGGAAAGCATGATGTCCTGTAGTCGTGTGGGCACGTTGGGAGCTGAGTGTGCAGTGAACACAGGGAGATTGTGAGGCCATGATTTGGGTCTTTATCTTGAGACTCATGGGGAGCTTTTGATGACTGCTTTGCTGGGAGAGCAGAGAAGCTCAGCCTGGCATGTCAGAAGCCCTTCTGGTTACCATGGGGAGGCTGGCCTGGGGCATGGACAGGGTATGATGGTGGGCATTACCATCACTCACTTTTCCTGAGATAGAGTATTGTAAGCAGAGACCAGAGGGCTCTCAGAATGATGGCTCAAAGTGAGGCGTAAGTGCCCTGGACTTACCTGATTCCCTTTAAAGTATGAAAGAGGGCATTTGAGAGAACATAGCCACAGGATCCTTTACTTTTTCCAGGGGCTCTGTAGGAACCTGGCTGGAGTCCTTAGCCAGGTATGTGAGCCTGAAAATGTTGGCTGATGCTATACCATGACAGCTGCCTGGCTGCAGCTCCTGCCCTCTCTCCTGTGAACTTCCTCTGTTTTGACTACTTCAGACGAAAGCCCAGCCCTGCCTTTTCTCGTGAGTGCTGTAGGTTGGTCTAGGAGGGCACATCCGTGAGCACAGACCTCCTGGGTGCAGGGTGTGCACCTGGAAGCCTCACTTCTAGCCCATGCTTGGCCCAGTCTCAGGATCCAGACCCCCACATACCCCATCCACTCATCAGAAAGAGGTTGGCCTCGGTTTGGGTTGTAGAAGAGGAGGCTGGGAAGCCCTGGGCATGTCCCGCTCTTGTGGGTGAGCTCCGGCTGTTGGGGACACAGTTTTGATGAAGGGATTTTTTTTCTTGTGCTCCTTAAGCCCTATCAGCGAGGCATCCAATTATGCCACTTATCTGAGGCTATAATTATTAAAATATCCTGAATTGTGATGCTAATAGCAAATTTGCTAAATGGAAATGAATTTTTAATATCGTAATTTGCCTTTCCTTTTTATCTGATTCATTTTCTCTCTACATGTCACTTCCTAAGAGTGAACAAAACATGGAAGCCTTTCTTACCTTTTCTGCTTAGGACATAGTTAAATTTCAGCACATTTTTGAGTTTCTTGGGACCCTCTTAAAACACTTTGCTCACTTGTTTAGGTGACCTCTGACTCCAGTGTGCTCCTCTGGGCAGCTGTTTCTATAGCCTGCTGATGCCAGAGTATCCAGGCCTCCCCAGGGATTAATACGTCATCCAAAAGGGGCACAGATATCCCTAGGTCCAGCCACTCTGTAGCTGTTAGCACTTTCGCATTAGCAGCACAACTCTGGCTGTTTGGTCCCTTGGCCTTTTTCTTTTGGAACACAGCTTGTGCGAATCTCTTGGGCTCATAACCCAGTTAACTCCTCTAGCTTGATGAGCTTGGTGGAGACCGAGCCGAGTGTGTCTGGCAATGGAGGAAGAAAGTGCTCTTCTTGTCACACTCCCGTCCACAGGCATGCTGCCATTAGGTGAAATAAACCTGGAGTTTGACTTACAACCCTTCCCTGACAGACAGGGTTGTAGGAGACAGGCTGATTTCCTGGCACCCAACGCTCTAGTCTGATCACCCTGGCCTTCTCTGACCCCGGAGCTCTGTCTTCCCCAAAGGATGGAGGATCTCCCTGAGGTCTCCCAGGTTCTGACACTGACTGCGGGCAGCGAGCCCAGCTAGGAGCCTCAGGGTACAGTGAGCTGTGCACCAGGGCTGGGGTGCTGAAATCACCTTTGAGGGCCCATCATGGTTCTAGCACCTGCTCGTTCTCACTAGGTGTCCCTTGGCCAGTCACTGGTTTACCTACCACAAATCTATGAATGAGAAGTGTGATCGAGTGTGACAGGTGAGTACCGGTTCCTCATTTAACCAGATGTGCTGCTTTGTCACAGAAGGCACCCTTGCTCATTCATTGGACAAATGTTTATCGAAAGAGATTAAAAAAAAGAAAACTGTACCCCTGTGCAGTTTGCACAATTCTAGTAGGAAAAATGACAAATAAGGACGGGGATTTAGCTCAGTGGTTCTGGCACCTTCTTCGCAAGCGCAAGGGCCCAAGTTCAAAAAAACAAAAGCAAATGACAGATAATAAACAAGTACAGTGCAAAGTGGTGAGATGAAGATAAAGAAGGAAGATGCAGCACAGCAGGGAGGGGCCCTGTTGCAGGAAGTAGGCAGTGTGATGTTGGAGCAGAAACTTGAAGCAAGAGTGCTTTCCAGGGATCTGGAGCAGAGTGTTCAGGGCAGAGGAGCTGCCAGTCCAGGGGCCCGAAGTGGAAGGCGGGCCGATGTGTGTGAGGCCGGAGCGGAGTAGGTCAGGGAGAGGAGGCCAAAAGGGGCATCCTAGAGGCCATCTGAGGCCTGTGTTTTGATGCTGGTAGGGACAGAGGGGAGACCCTGGGGAAGTTAGAGCATCACAGACATTATCCCCTTGGTGTTTCTTTTTCCCTCACTGAGTTTATTGGTACATTTTAGGTGTACAGTACAGTTGCATTCATTATTGGGATCTTGTACCTTTACATGACAGGTCTTGGTTCTCATTTTTTCCCCATATCCCTGCCCTCCCTTCAACCCCCCCATTTACAAACACTTTATTTCCATTTTTTCATTTTCTCACATATTTTTCCCTTACAACCTTTCTCCTACCCTCCCCACTTTCCCTACACCTTTAGCCCTTTTCTTCCTATTTCACATTGTCAATTATATTTCACATTGTCTTTAGGATCTTATGCACTATTATAGTTTTTCACACCAGAGAAACTATTTGGTATTTACACATGTGTGACTTATTTATTCCACTTAAAAGTATATCCTCAACATGTATCCATTTTTCTGTGAATGAATCTAATTTCTCATTCTTTATGGCTGAGTAGTATTCCATTTTATAGAAAAACCACATCTTCTTTATCCAGTTTCCAACTGATGGGCAAATGGGCTGTTTACAAGTTTTAGCTATTACAAACTGTGCCGCTATAAACATAGGTGCGCATATATCACTGTGGTGTGATTCTTTTAATTCTTTTGGAAAGATGCCCAGCAGAGGGATGGCTAGGTCAAATGGAACCTCTATCCCAGCTAAAGGATCACTCTGGCTGTGATGTTAAAATTAGAATGTAGGAGGGCAGAATCAAGGAGAAGACCACTGCAAAAATCTAGGTAAGCAGTGGTGGTAGCTTGGACTGGGATGGACTGGGAAGTGCTAACAACTAATCACATTCTAGACATTTTAAATAGAGCTGAGCGGGTGAGTTGAAATGGAATGTAAAGAAAGAACAGAATTAAAGGTAATAGCAAGGCTTTTACACCCTAGAAACCAGGACTGCAGTCCTGCCCCTTTGTTGAGATGGAGAAAGTTGGGGAGCAGCGGCTTTGTAGAAGAGGAGGAATCAGGTTTGGAGTGTGCAGGGTTTGAGACCCCTACTGGACGACCAAGCAAGTGTTTGTTATGTAAATGAGCAGTTGGTTAGGCGAGCCTGGAACTCAGGAGCGGATGTAGAAACTTGGGAACCTTCAGCCTTGTGATAGTGTTTGTAGCCAGGAGACTGGAATAGATTCAGATATCAGAGAAAGAATGATCCTTTAAAAATGCATCCATAGCAACGTTTTCAGCAAGCACAGGATAATATTAAGAAATCTTTTTCAGAATGAGAACAACGTAATTTGTGTTTGGTTTCTATAGCATCATGTTTTGATGCTGAGGAAAGTGAGGGAAGTTGTCACTGTTAAGAAAGAAAGATTTACTATAGCATTGGATTCAAACTGTGGTCCCCACTTGCACTGTTTTGAGGAAGGGCAGCCCATGAGGCCCTGTTACAGGGGACACCGCTTGCATGCATATGAGAAAGAGGAGAACGTGGGTGACAGCTCTTCCAGGCCCTCGAAATGGCCATTCTAAAAAGCAGCTAACAGTTGAGAAAACGCTGTTAACATTTTATATATCTTTTAACCCCGGATATGTATTTCTGAGATTTGCATATAATTAGAATACCTACAGGTGCTGGGGTGTGTGTGGGGGGGATACAGCCTTTTTCCAAGACATACAAATCCAGTGCTGGAGGCTTTCCAGGGAATAGGGAATAATAAAATGGGAGAAACATATCAAAGTTCAATTTCTTTTTTGGTTCACCAATATTTTCACGGCTTCCAAATAGACTTTTTAAAGTGGCTATGGGGTAGTCATTCTGTATTTTCCATCAATTTACTAATTAAAACAGGATTTGGAAAAGAGAAAAGTGCTTTGCTCACTGAGATGATTCTTTACCTTGGCGAGACTATGGGATGGATTCCAGAATAGTACAGTGTAATGTCTGAGCAGCTCGGCAGAGTTTCAAGCACACAAGATTCTGCCGAGTCTTGGAAGCTATGCCTTGGGTGATTATCTTTTTTTAATCAATGAGTGATGAGATAGAGGTACTCCCATCCCTGACTGTTCTAGGAGACTTTAGCCAGTATGAAACCATGCAGTCAGCGTCAAAACACAGCACACCCGAGCTCCCAGTCCTGAGTGGCACAGGTGAGGACGCTCCCAGGGCTGCAGCACCCCAACCTGAGGGCTTTGGCTCTCCGGCACCGGTAGGTAGAGGCGGGGCCGCGCTCACTCTGCGTCTCTGCTGGGGATGTAGAAGAGGGGGCGGAGACAGACTTCTCAGTCACCACATACAGCCCTGTTTGGGGCCCAGGATGCCTAACCCCTGCCTTTGCTCTCAGAAGAGGTTTTCCGGGCTATGGAACCAACTTGTTCTTCAGCCACAAGTGAAGGCGACACACACACCGGAGCAAACCTGGAGCCCAGTGGCCATCAGTGCAGCAGAATGAAGCTCGGGGTGGAATCTGGGTGCTCAGAAAGCCATTCTCAGAGCACAGACGGGGCAGAGGCAGCATATGCCCGTGCTTCTTTGACCTTCTTATATCCAGTATCTGGCCGGAGAACTGTGGTAAAGACAGTGGGGTTACTTTTGAGGTCCTGGCATTTACAAGTGGCTGAGGGTCTTTTTTTTTTTTTCCTCCTTTCTCCTTTTGTCACAGGATAGAAGAGGACTGGATCTGTTTCTGAGTCACCATGGAATGTGGCCTAACCAAAACTCAGTGAAACCCAAAGCTTTTGTTGAGGTAAGCCAGTAAGAATGAAGGATTTAGTTGTTATTGCAACATTGTAGAACCTACCCTTACTAATATAGTTCCTTTTTCAAAGCCACTTGCAGGGCTTAGTCATTGGTCTGGGGTCTTAGTCCTTGGCGTTGCTTGGGTCCAAGGAGACGTATAAGCCTGAAAAGGAGCTTCAGGCTGCTTTGTTGGGGCCATTACAACCCAATGAGCTGATGATGATTTCCCAGTGGTGGTAACTGGGTGGGTGCTGGAGTCAGCTCCTCAGCTCTTCTAGGAGGTGTATGGATATACGGATATGATTGTATTTTCTGTAATTTGTATGAAATCAAACTGATCTCGTGTCCTAATCAGGAAGTCACGATCTTCCATGGAAGGAGCAATATCCCATATAAAATTGTGTGTATTGGGTCATCTTTCATGTACCCTTGAAGTGATTCATGACTCTCTAAGCTAATAAAACACCTTGCTGAAATAAAATGATCCATCCAAGCAAATAAAAACCCTGACAGAGTTACTGTATGGCATTTTCTAGGGAGCTATAACTATGATAGCTAGTTCATTGAGAGCTAAGTAGAAAACCCAAACACTGGCAAAGCTGCAGAGGAGAAATGAATCACCACCGGGGGAAGACCGTGCCAGGAAGCACACCGGGGTCATAAAGTATATGGGCTCTCTGTGAGAGGACTTCGAACCGGCAGGCGGGCTGGCTCTCACCACGGAGCGGCAGAGCCGCCATCTCCCTGGCCCCAGACGTTCTCAGGGCTTCTTCCTGACCCACCTTGTGCCAGGCGTCACAGGCGGCCTGCGGGTCTGTTGGGAAGGTGAGGTTTCTCCGGAACAGGGGATGAGCTTGGGAAATTGTGAGGGGTGTAAAAGTGGGGCGGCAGCTCAGGGCTCTAGGCCCACATCAGAGCTCCCACTCCTTGTGTCCCTCTCGTGGCTGTTGTCCTCTTGGGGTGTGATGGCCTTTCCGAGGTCCCCTTGTAGTGTCCCTAGCACGTGGCCATTGGATCTGTGTCGCTCTCTCCCGTGTCTAGGAACTCATGACTTACCAAAGAAGGCCTGTTGGATAGTTCCTTGTGTCGGTTTGATTTCAGCCACAGACAGAACCGCTGCCCTCGGGGGCCAGCACCTGTGAGTCTGCTTTACCTCTCCTTTGCCGGCTCTGGGCCTCTCTTCGCTTCCCTCTGGCCACATCCCCATGCGTGTGCATGGCGCCCCGAACTTTCGCTCGGAAGCGTGGCATGGCTACCAGGCCTCTCCCCTCCTGCTGGCCTTTCTACCCTGCTGCAGGTGCCCAAGGCCCAGGTGTGGGGTCCCTGCCGGTTACGTTTACCCTGCCTGCCACGCTGGCGGGGTGTGACTCCAGCCAAGCTCAGGTGGCAGGGCCTCTGGGCTTAAAAATCTCCTTACTCAGACTTCTGTGTAGTACAGTGGAGACACAGGAACAAGACCCCCCTTCACACTCACTGCTCTACCGTTCAGCTGTGGAGAAATGTGGGCCATGGTGCCTCAGCTGTGTGCTGCAGGAACACACTTCCGCGGGGCGTCACCAAAAGATGTAGGGTGCGTGTCTACGCCTCTGTTCTCTGAAACAGATTAGTTAGCTCGTGGCAGTCCTTCCGTCCTCGAAAACTTATTGGTGATCAACGGCTCATTGATACCTTTTGTAAAAATTTATTTTTAACTAGTTTTGGATTTACAGAAAGTTACGGTTTATTTCATGACACTCCCCCCAACCAGATTGTCAAAGCCAGGAAATTACTGATATGACCAGACTTGTAACTCAGTTACAGGCCTTATGTGGATTTCCCTAGTTTTGTTTTTGGTACTGAGGATCAAACTCAGGACCTTGTGCTTGTGAGGCAGGTGTAGCGCTGCTGAACCAAGTTCCTGGCCCTTCCCTAGTTTTTATATGTGTCCTTGTACATATGCATATTTGTATTCCTATGAAAAAATGTTTTGGGATTGCTGGGGATCGAACCTGGGGTCTCACACATGCTAGACAAGTATGGTTCCCCTGACCCACATCCCCAGCACAGTTCTGTGAAATTTAGTCCTCAGTGCAGACTCAAGTAACCATCGCCACTGTCAGAATACAGGCCATGTTCGTGGATCCTCATAGGACACCCTGATGATCATGTCGTTCCCCAACTCTGACCCTGGCCAACCTCTGACCTGCTCTGTGTCTCTATCGTTTTATCACTTTAAGAATGCACAGTTCGACTCAGCATAATGCCCACAGATATCCTCTACTTCTGTACACCCCGGATCCTGAATTATAGGGTGGATTATGCTAACCCTGAACAATACATCAAGGCCTCTCGGCGCATATAGTTAAGAGGGCTGTTGGTTTCCAGGTAGAAGAGTGACTGTGCCCGCAGCGCCAGCACATGGAGTGAGCCGAGGCTGTTCTCCAGCCCTGTGCAGGTCCTCTGGGCCCTGACGCTGCGGTAGGGCACAGCTGAGATGCCGATTTCCCCACCTGACTATCCCTGTGACTTCAAACGCCAGCAGTTTCCATAGCCTGAAGATTTTGGCATTGTCAAAAGGCAGGAACAAAAATCAAGAGTAATTAAACTCATCAACCTATAAGATTTTTTTCAGGGGGCCATTTTAGTGGGGGCGACGGCGTCCCCTCCCCAACTCCCTTTGTGGTGTGGGCCTTCAGATGTGTCTGTTCCATGGTTGTCTGATTTAGAAAAAACTTGTACAAGTCAGAGCTCATTCCACCTTCAGTAATCTCAGAAGTGATTGGTCACAGAGGGGAAATGTCTACTGTCATTTGGAAACTATTACTGTCATCGTTGAGCATTTCAGTTGTAGATGGGAAAGTAAAATAGGTAAAAATTGAGGATTTGATGGAAAAAAGGTTGCTCCTATTTCAGAAATATAAATGATTATTTACTTGCTTATGTATTTGTAGAACTATCACTGTACAAGGAATTTGAGCTTTTAAAAATCCTTTTTAGAAATCTAGAAAGTTGAATAGAATGAAAATTTTCTAAAACCATCTTCAAGAGATAAAACTATTGGTTATAGATTAGCTAATTTGTTGCAGAGTTTACGTAAAATAAAAGTGTTGATGTTATTCACAGATATATTCAGACATATGTATGGATGGATTCTGGCAATATAATTTTTAAAAAATTCAACAAATATTTATCAGATGCCTGTTTTGGGCAGATGTCTTTCTGATAGGCATTCAAGAAATATCTGTTGGATAAATAATGAGTGAATAAATGGATGAACAAGTGAACAAGAACAAGTTAATAAAAATATGACCAGATGTTTTGGATACTTAAATGAAACAAAAATTAGGGTAACAGATGTCCATAAAGAATATGTTGTAATCTTATTAACGACAAAGTTATCCTTATGAAGATTTACATGTTGCTCAAACTAGTTCTACAAATAATTATTACATACTCTAGACGGGGTACTTACAGTGAAAACCACTTTTTTTTGGTCATGTTGTGGCTGACTGTAGACCATGTCTACCCAAAATATACTTCTAACCGGAGAGGACTGCGACATTACCTCTTTCCTCAGTATCACCAGGTCAGCCTGTAATATAGTAATACCAAGCCAATCTGATCCAAATGCTAATGCTAATTCTAACTTGAATATTGAGCAGCTCCTCTTTGGAGCCCCGATTAAGTACCAGGCTCTGTACCATTTAATCTTCACAGGGACCTAATGAGCTATTGCTGTTCCTTTCCAAAGTAGGAGACTGAAACCCGAGAACTTCAGTGGTTTTCCCAAAGTCACAGCACCAGTGAGTAGTGAAGTCAGAGCCCATGGTCTGCCCAGTGTCCATTGTGATGTTCTCCTCATTAAGAGTCGGTGTGGATGGGTTTGATGCTTGCTTTACCGGAATTATGACAGCTTCTTCGATACAGTATTGACTACTTTTATCCCTTCCAAGATGTCCTTCCTCAGTTTGTCTATTAGTGAGTATGATGATGCAGAAGATAACACTGAGGCCCAGGACAGAGAGACAGAGAGGGTGTAGGCCTGAGGAACCGAGTGGTCACTCCCCTTGACACTGATCAGCAGTGAGCCACTGACACAGGCTGGGGAGATGGAAGAGGTGGGGACCTTGTGAGTCCTGGGCAGCGCCCTGAGAGAACCTGGCTGGCTCTGTGCTGCGTTCAGGCACCGTGGCCTTGACCACGTCTGCAGTATTTTGCCCATAGCCCGCTGGATGCCCATGGCCAGCCGAGTGACAGCAGGGAGGCCGGCCTGTGTGGCAGAAGGAGTAGTGTCCTTCGGTCTCAGCACCACGTGGGAAGGCGTTCTGGGTTCCTGCAGAGCAGAGTAGGTCCTCCCTGCTGGGTGTTCCCAAGTTGTCCTGCATGTCCCCTCCTCTGTGACAACTGTTTTTTCAACTGCTCATCGTCTGTGAGCTCTAGGCAGGCAGAATCTACTTGTTCATTACTTGGTCTCCAGGCCTTCAGAAGAGGGCCTAGAACGGTGACTGCTCAGTTGAAAATCATTCAATAGTTTGGAATGTTTTCCCAATCAGGAGCAGAAAAATAAATGTCTTAGAGACATTATGTAAAGGAAACTAATGAGGCCCAGGGCCTTCTCACTCTGAGTTTGGAGCTGTCGTGTCTGCAGAACTCCTTGCTTTCATTAGCTCAGACCTAACTACGTCAGCTTCTTTCTCTGTCAGTTTTCAGTTCTTTGCTGACCTTTTGCTTCTTCCTTTATTTTCTCCCTTTCACCTGTCTTTTCTGTCCCTTTGGTTTGAGTTTGTATATTTCTCTGAGATTTTTTTTTTAATGAAGGAAAATATATGTATCCATAAGTTAAGCAATCCCTAGCGCAAAATGTACCATTCTAAATAGCTTAGGAACAACTCCTAGGAGAAGACAAATAAAATGTTTTACTTGCAAATCAGCAAGAGAAAATCCTGTCTAGCTTTTTAAATAAAAGAAGGAATGAAAAGGAGGGCATGAAAAATAGAAAACATAAAAATGCAAAATTACATTTACAAC